CAAGGCTTTTCAGTTAGTCTTAACAGAATAGTCCCCAAATTCTTCTCCTACGTGAAGAAAGGGAAAGTGGTTTTAGAGCACCAGTCAGGAAATCTTGAATATTTATCTCAGAACTGCTTGCCTCTCTACATGCTTTAGAATAGCATTTCCCCATGGAATATATTATACTTATGCAGGATGTCTTTCTAGAGAGGGCTGCACAAATGATTCAAGAAAACTGTATATTTTATTTCTCCTTTTGGAAATTTATAATGTACATTAACATATGAAAGACTCTAAGAAGAACTGCAGTCTACATAACTTGTTTCAAGCCAAATGCATTTTCTATTTCCCAGCCTATTTCAACATGGAATCTTCTGACATCAAAATCATCATCATCAGATGTAACATTTAAGATCTTAAAAGACATTTGGGAAACGTTCCCATGGATACAGCATACTGTTCACGTAGTGTTGTTTCTCTCCCTTAGGCTGGAACACTCTTTCTCCTCTTGTTTCTTTCCTTTCTCTCTCCTCTTCTCTCCAACCTCCCTAATCCAGGTTCTTTCTTTTTTATCATTATTATTCCTTTTAGGAGAAGGACTGGTGAAATCACTGTGGTATGCACTTATTATATTGTAATCTAGTATTCTTCCTCAGTTGAGGGACCTGGTTTCTTTCTCTGTTTTTAATTAGCATGCATCTTCCCTAGTCCCAATACTGTATGATTCAGCCTTGTTCATTCTCTTTCAATCCTATATAGTGTTTGGGTCACTGTTGAGAACCTCCTACGTATATCTGCAAAAATTATAATGAATAGATAAAATAATCCAGGATTCATATAGATATAGATGTATATACAGATACACATGTATATACACATGTATATATGCTGAATCAAAAAATATAGATACATTGTATTAAAAAAAACTTTCTACCCACTACTTCCTGCCTGTGTGAACCACCAGTCTATTTTCTGTATCATCTATGAGCTTGTTTTTCTTTTTGTAGTTGTTAGGATTTTTTTTTTTTTTTTTATGATTCCACATGTAAGAGAGATCATACAGTATTTTTCTTCCTCTGACTTATTTCATTTAGCCTAATACCCTCAGGGTCCATCCATGTTATCCCACATGGCAAGATTTCATTCCTTATTTTCTGACTGAATAATAATAATGAGCATGTCTGCATGTGTGTGTGTGTGCACGTACCACAGTTTATCCATTCATCTGTCAATGGACACTTAAGTTGCTTGTGTGTCTTGGCTATTGTTAATGATGCTGCAGTAAGCATGGGGTATGTATATCTTTTGAGTTGGTGTTTTGTTTTTGGATGAATACCTAGAAGTGGATTTGCTTGGTCACATGATAGTTCTATTTTTAATTCTTTGAGGAACTTCCCTACTGTTTTCCATAGTGGATGCACAAATTTACATTCCCATCAGCATTCACAAAGGTTCCCTTTCCTTCACGTTCTTAATAGCATTTGTTTTGTTATCTTTGTGATAATAGCCTTTCCAGTAGATGTGAGGTGTTACCTCACTGTGTTTGATTTGCCTCTTCTGATTAATGATACTGGGCATCCTATTGGCCATCAGTATGTCTGTTCCTGTGCTTTGCCCATTTTTCAGTTGGATTGCTTCTTTTTTTCTATTGAGTTGTATGAATTCTTTAAATATTTTGGATGTTAACCCCTTATCAGATATATGATTTGCAAACATTTTCTCTCAGTCATTTGGTTACCTTTTCATTTTGTTGATGATTTATTTCCTTTGCTATACGGATGCTTTTTAGTGTGATGGAGCCCCACTTATTTATTTTTGCCTTTGTTGCTTTTGCTTTTGGTGTCAGATTCAGAAATCATTGCCAAGACTTACGTCAATAAGCTTACCCTCTACATTCTCTTATAGGAATTTATTGTTTCCAGTCTTCTATTTCAGGTCTTAATCCATTTTGAGTTAATCTTTGTATATGGTATAAGCCAATAGCCCAGTTTCATTCTTTTGCATATGACTGCCAGTTTCCCTAGCGTCATTTACTGAAGACATTGTCCTTTCCTCATTGTATATTCTTGGCTCTTTTGTCACAGGTTAATTGACTATATATGTGTGGGTTTATTTCTGGGCTCTCTGTTCTACTGATTTTTGTGTCTGGTTTTATGCAAATGCCATGCAGTTTTAATCATTACAGTTTTGTAATATAGCTTGAAACCAGAAATTGTAATGGCTCCAGCTTTGTTCTTCTTTCTCAGGATTGCTTTGGCTTTTTGCATGTGTGTGTGTGTGTGTGTGTGTGTGTGTGTGGTTCCGTGAAAATTTTAGGATTATTCTGTTTCTTTGAAAATGTCATTGGAATTTTGGTAGGGATTACATTGATTCTGTAGATTGCTTTGGGTAGTATGGACATTTGAACATCAATAATTTTTTCAATCCAGGATCACAGAGTATCTTCTCATTTGTTTGTGTCACTTTCAGTTTCTTTCATTAATGCCACGTAGTTTTCAAATTTCACCTCCTTGGTTAAATTTATTCCTGGATACTTTATTCTTTTTCATGCAGTTGTAAATAGGATTGTTTTCTTTATTTCTCTTTCTGATGTTTTGTTATTAGTGCATAGAAATGTTACAGGTTTTTGTGTATTGATTCTGTATCCTACAACTTTACTGAATTTGTTTCTTACTTCTCTCATGTCACATACAAATAGTGACAATTTTTCTTCTTCTTTTCCAATTTGGATGTCTTTATTTCTTGTTCTTGCCTAATTGCTCTGGCTAAGACTTCCAATACTATGTTGAATAAAAGTGGTGAGGGTAGACGTCCTTGTCTTTCCTGTTCAAGATCTTAGACAAAAGGGTTTCAGCTGTTTACTGTTGAATAGGATGTTAACTGTGGTCCTGTCATATATGGCCTCTATTATGTTGAAGTGTGTTCCCTTTATACCCACTTTATTGAGAGGTTTTTTTTTATCATAAATCATTGTTGAATTTTATCCCATACTTAAGTGTGTTCCCCTTATAGCCACTTTATTGAGAGGTTTGCTTTCTTTTTATCATTAATTATTAATGTTGAATTTTATCACATACTTTTTCTACATCTAGTGAGGTGAACATATGATTTTCACCCTTCTTTGTGTCAATGTGTCAGATCCCATTGACTGATTTTAAGATGTTGAACCATTCTTGTGCCCATGGGATAAATCTTACTTCATTATGGTGTCTGATCCCTTTAATGTATGGTTGAATTTGGTTTGCTAATATTTTGTTTTGGGTTTTTGCATCTATATTTGTCAGGAATATTGGCTTTTAATTTTCTTGTGTTGTCCTTGTCTGATGTTGGTATCAGGCTAATGCTGGCCTCATAAGGTCAGTTTGGAAGAAATCCTCCTGTTTTTTGGGAGCGTAGGAGAAGGATTCATGTTAATTCTCCTTTGAATATTTGATGAAATTTACCAGTGAAACTGTCTGGTCCTGGATTTTTGTTTGGTGAGAGGTTTCTACTGATTCAGCCTTCTAACTAGTCATCAGGCTGTTCAGATTTTACCTTATTCTTTAAAATACATGGTTTGTCTTAGAACTTATGTTTTCCCTGACCATCTGTCTCCTCTGTTCCCTCACTCATCATACAGTTGCACCTACCCTGTACTTTCAAAATACTTGGTACACATCTCTATTCTTTGGACCTACTGCATGTTCGTATTGCCTGTCTCTCTATCCCCTCATTATACCTTGAGCTTTTTGAGGACAGATATTTTTTATTGCTAGTTTCTACTGTATACTATAAATATCCTTAATGATTCATGGAAAAAATGATTAAATGAATGATTAATAGAGTGAGAAAGACTCAGGCCCTGCTATCTTCCACAGCATGCACTTGGCATCCAGGAGACTAATACATCCTTGCCTTGCCCATCATGACTTAATCTTACCATCACCTCTTTGCTCTACTCTTTGCTCCGCTCTGCTGTTTCTTCTCTTGCTCAACCAGGTACAGAGAGCAGAAAAGCAAGTGTGCTTCAATGGATAGACAAGCGAGGAGTGAGAGGCCAGTGTCTTTTCCTTGTAGGCTGGTCCTATTTGTGTATAGTTCTCCTAGAAGACCCTTGCTTGTTTCAGCATAGTGGGAACAGGAGTGAAAATGGGACAGACGTCCTCTCCTAAGAAGACTTAGACACTTTCTCTTGGCTAGCAACTTAGAGTGCCAAGAGTCTCCTCTAGTTCCTAATCTTCTGCTTACACTGGTTCTACTGATGGCACGCTGGAAACTGACCTGGTTCTGTGCACGGTTAGCAAATTCTGTGGAGCTGTGTCTAGCAGTTGGCAGCTCTCCTTAGAATGTGGGGGTACCTTTGGGCTTTTGCTGCAATTCTGAGCTGAAAGGAAATGTCCCTTTCAGAATTCAGGTGTGTATATTTTCATCTAGAAAAAAGCCCAGCATGGAGTATAAACTCTTAGAGGCAGTGGCATTGTTAATGTTTATTTTCTATAATAGCTATTGCTAAACTCACTGATTTATTAGAATTCGGTGATTATAATATGCAGTATTTGGCCATAAAGCACTGAATTAAACCCGAATCACTTTGCATCCTGGTTTGTTAGGACAAATACCTGGCTGTATCTTCAGAGACTCGGGTGAAACATTCTGGAGTACATACCAGAACTCTGATGATCTTGCTTGACAACTCTTGGCACTCCATAGAGAACACAGGTTTAAGTTACCTTGAACAAGTGAGAGAAGTTCTGGCTGACCTGACTAATTGGTCCAAGAATCAGCATAGTGATTACAGTCTGAAGTATGATACCATGTTTTCTTGCCAGCAGATTCATGAGGCCTAATACATGAACGTTAGTTTCATTTTATTTCATACTTTTACTGAGCACTCAAAAGAGTTCATTTCTTAAATTTGGAACATCCCTTTTGGAATTTTGTTTTGATGAAACATAGGCCGTGAACGTTTGCTGGCTACTTGCCTGTAGAGGATTCCAGGTTATTGTCATAAATTTAAGTGACATGTATTTAACTTCCAGGGTGAAAAGGAACAGCCTGTGTTTGCACTCACCGGCCTTCGATGGGGATCCTTCCGAGATGCTGGCGTCTCAGTTAGCAGGTAGAAGGGCGCTGGGTTAACCAGTGGTGGTTTTTAAACACCTTCTTACTCTGTCCCTGTCTTTGAGGTTTCAGTATACAGTGATCTCGGAATACATGCAGTGGGCCCGGTGGTTGAATTATGTATGAATAGCAGAAGTGAAGTTTACATTCTGTGTGCAGAGAGGCTGGGGGAAGTCCCAGCTTCCTCCACGCTGGCTGAGTGGTAGCTCAGGATGAGCAGTGTCCACCTCTCTTTCTAGACATCGTATTTGATCGGGGTTTGGGGGGGGGGGCGGCTCAGCTAGACCAGAGGGGCACTGGTGTCGTCTCCTCCCACTGCCTGCTTAGCTGGGTACCAAGTGCAGGGTACCACTGGGGCTGCAGCCTCCTGGAGCTCTGACAACCCTGGTTGGAAGGCCTCCTTTCCCCCAAGAGGTGTTCTTTCTGAAGGCCGAGCGGATTCACTGACCCCAGGCCGCCTCCTTCAGAGGAGGGAAGAGGGCAGAGACCTGGGAATGCTGGAAGGTGGAAGAAACAGGCCTGCAGAGGAGGCGATGAGAGGGCTGCTGGTGGCTTTTCATGGCAACCTGCTTATTTTTGGAGGATTCATTGTGGAGCATAAAACTGCCGGCTCGCAAAGAGCGCTCGAGAGGCCGCGTGGGCAAGGCTTCCTGAGGTGGGGCTGGAGGAGACAGGGCGTGAGGTTCGCTCCTGGCTGGTGGGCGTTATTTTCTTTCTTTACCTCTTCTTGACAACACATTTACAGTGTAAATGAGTGATGATTGATCTCGCACACAGCTTTTATCAAGAAAGCTCGCTTTCACTTTGTAGGCATTCTCGGCACATTTTCTTTACAGAAATTCCTCTCATTTGTCCCACATGGTTATTCCTGCTAATGACGTTCCTGACAGTGGACTGTCAAAGGAGAGAGACCACTGAGTTACATCACACACTGCGTTCTTTTGTTTGCGAATGTGCATGGTTATCTTCATTCCGCAAGTCATCTTGTATCTTATCTGTAATCTCACATGCCAGCAGTTTACTAAGAGGAATTGCTCACTTTCCCCTGAGAAAGTCTAATAAGAGCAAATTGCTCTTTCTTTTTTTGTGGCCACACAATGTGCTATGTGGGATCTTCCCTGACCATGTGGGGCTCCCTGACCAGGGATGGAGCGCATGCCCCCCTGCCGGAGAAGTGCAGAGTCCTAACCACTGGACCGCTGGGGAAGTCCTACATTGCTTTCCAAGTGTATTGAGCACAAGCATAGGTCAGCCCTTGAGGAATAGCACACACAGGCCCATATTCTGTTTGATTTCTGAGCATGGAATTTTTAAATGCTGGCTGTTGTTGTACCTGGACTAGAACCATCCACTGAGTCACCATGTGTGTTACGGGAGAAACTGGGGGGGGTGCAAGAAGCCATTTCCTAGCTGGCCTTGCACAGTATCAGTTCAGAATAAAGTTACTTATTTATTTCTAAATCAGTTTGGAAATAAACTACCTTGGTTGGGATGTGTTTCTGTCTGGCTACCCTGGAAAAGAGGCAAAGCATCAAGTAAGCTTTCAAACAAAGTAACAGAAACAGAAACATGAGATGATCAAAGCCGTCATTAATGGCCTTGTGGTGCTTACTGGGATAATAGTTAGAATCGTTCTGTTCTGTTCATTGGATGACTAACCTCCATATTCTGGTGTTCAAGACCAACTTAATCCATCATCACTCCTAATTACCGAGTTCTATGTCTTTGCTTTGAAATGGCAACCCACTCCAGTGTTCTTGCCTGGAGAATCCCAGGGACAGGGGAGCCTGGTGGGCTGCCGTCTTTGGGGTTGCACAGTCGGACACGACTGAAGCGACTTAGCAGCAGCATGCCTTTGTTTAAAGCTTTTGCTCTGGCAGTTACTCTAAGCGTTTCCCGTACTGTTACTCCTTGTCCTGCCTAGAATGACATCCTTGCCTCTTTCTTGTGTCTGCATCCAGCCCAGGTTTCTAGGTCTCACGCCCTCACTTTATTCTTGTCATGTGTTGTGCAGGTGTGGCTGCTCCCGTGATTTAAGGCCCGTAATGATTTCTTGCACCTTCTTGACTCTCCTTACCAGTAAATAGTGATCAGTTTATACCATGTCATAGAAATATGTTTATTTGTCATTATCTATTATATTTGGGGGCCTTATGTTCTCAGAAGCCCTCAAAGGCAAGAATTTTGTACTGATTATATTGTTTCTGTTTCCTCCATATACATAGTAAGTGCTAAATGAATGCATATTGATTCGGATTGAATAGGGAGCAGTTAAGATGGGCTGGGAAGTGAAAGACATTTTAAGAGAGAAGTCTACTTTATGCCACTTTTCTAAATCCAACCAGGCATCTTTTTCTCTTCAGTAGCTTTTAGGAATTTAGCAATATGAAGTAGACCCTCTTTACTCCCAGATTTCACATTTGCCATGTTGAAGCTGCATAACATGAGTAATGTGAAATTACGCTGATTTACAGATTTTAATTGTATGTTTGTGTATTGAGAGAGAATGCGGTGTACAGCATGCAGCCATTTAGCTCACGAGTAATATATCAGCACCCGCATCTACATCTCATCGTGGCTTTATCACTCTCCACTCATTCGGAATGTGAACTCAACTGTGTTCCATGGTGGAAAGTACATATTACAGTGATACCTGTGAATTTAGAGATTCAAGGAGTCTCTGATTATATATCTCATAAATTGCAAGGATTTAGCTGCTGTATAACTAATTACGTTGTTTGACATGGTATTCAAATGCAGATTAAAAACTTAACTGTAATACTTTTTTATGCTAAACCACAATCTCCAAATCTCCAGAGCAGACACTCCTGGTAGAGGTGTAATTCTAATGTATTATCTGTCCTGAATGGTATCTAGCACATTGATAGCTTTTTTTAATATTCTAATCAGATTTTTATCTTGCTCTTTCTCAGGTACTGGTATCTTGGGCCTCTAAAAACCAAAGCAGCCCACTTTTTCAGCACTCTTAAGGTAAATGCAGGCTACAGTATTGAAATTTGACCTCTGGTATTTTGTTATTCCTTTGTGATGTGTGTATTTGGAATTTTTAAAACTTTCTTGCTATAGATGTATATGGCATGCTCCTAAAATGGGGCCTATTTACTTACACACAAATGCAGATGGCATTGTTGTTTTGATACTTCTCATCTGCCAACTTATTCTCTATTACCAAGCCCATATTTAATTTCATTTTAGTATTTCACTTCCCTTTGTTCACTTACTCTTACCAAACAAACCTTGAACACAGTGACCTGTATCTCATTACTTACTTGCAAGTGTGTCTGTATTAGTATCTAGAAATGAACTGAAGATTTGTATATGAATACACCTAATCATATAGGCTTGTGTATAATATAGTAGGCTTCAAACAATGCTTTGTGCTTCAAACCATGCTTAACTAGCCAAATATGTGTAGTGGTTGCTGCATTGGACAATACAAGTATGAGACCGTTGCCGTCATAAGAGAAAGTTCTATCAGGCTATGCTGTTGTAGGTTATATGATGAAAAATATTGGTATAGAGAAAAACTCAACAATGTATGTTAAAGAAAACGCTAATAGAAAAGTCATAGTTATCTTGTACTACATACCATGTTGCGCTTTTATGCACATGAGGGTAGTATATTTACAGTTTGAATCTGAAAATTGGCAGATGAAGTTTCAATGTAGTAAGGAGTTTGGTTCTATCTAATGTTAGCATTCAGAGTATCGAATGGGTTTGGAATTAAAGAAGTAATATATGTCCATTGGAAAACATAGCTCCCTTTACCCAGAGCTATCCAGTTATTCATTAACAAAGCCATTAAAGTACTAGGGGTAGCCAATCTATGTGATTACTAAGATGAACTTGGGAGGGTGGGGAGCAAGGACTTTCTGTGCTTAAGGCAAACTGTGTGAGTAAAATGCATGACTGCTGTTGCTTGGAGGAGTCATTTCATTGATGGAGTATTCAGGAAGAAATAGAGGAGCTCCGTATTTAAGCTGTAGAATCTGGGACCATATAAACTGTTTCTATCATTTCTACAGCAAACAGTGATTGCATACCTATTGGGTGGCAAGCCCAGCTGTATATTTGGAATACTGAGTCAAATAAGACAGGTATCATGCCCTCAAGAAGTGTTCAGATGCCAGGAGTGAGGGCCTGGTAAACCAGCAGTTTGGCAAATGCTAGGAGAGAAATAGGAAAGAATAAGATGGAAGCAGAGAGGAGGAGCATTTACCTCTGACTGAAGGTCAGTAGAGTCAGCCCAGAGAAGGTTACAGTACTTCAGCCAAATTTTGAAAAATATACAGGACTAGATAAAGGGCATTCCAAGTGCAGGGGTCAGGATGTGCAGAGTCACAGGGGTGTGACATGGTCTTTAATTATGGCCAACGCAGTGGAATGGCTTGTGGGCTTACGGCATGTTTTGACGTGGGATCTGACCTTTATCATTAAAGCACTAGAGGGTCACTGGATCTTAAGCAGGGGAATGATAGGAGCAGGCTTTCACTTTGGCAAGAAATTGTTTGGCAGCAGAATGGACAAGAGACTGGACATTGGTAGTTACAGGCAAAGGTATCAGATAGAAGATTGTTAACACGATCCAGGTGAGGAGAGATGAGGTCTCGACAAGGTGGTAATAGTGAACATTGACCCCAGAGCATTGACTAAAGAGGTACAATCCTCTTTAGTCAGAAGGAGCATGGAGTATTCCCAGATTTCTGGTTTGAGGGGCTAGAGTTTGGTAACTAAAGTTTTCCATGAATGCTGATAATATTAGAGTTGGATCACGTTCATGAAGAAAGGCGAAATTCTCAGTTTGGCACATATCGAGTTTAACATTACCAGTGGTACAGACCAGTGAAGTCATACAATTATGACTTAGATCTGGAATTCAGAGACATCTGGGCTGAAGAAATAGCTTTAAAGGTCATAAGTGTATGAGTGGCATTGAGCTATGGGTTTGTTAAAGTTACTGTTGAGAACAGGTGGGCACAAATAACCATCATTTTAAAGAGCCAGAAATGATGCCCAGAAAGTCCAGAGAGAGTCTGGGAGGAAGTACTGACATAGAAGCCAATGAAAAAGAGAACTTCCGGAAGACAGCGAGATTTTAAGCAGCAGCAGCAAAGAGCAAGAATAAAGAGAGGAAAGTAAGGACCCATTGAATCTGGCAACCCCTGCAGCTTTGGTAACGTCTTAGGTGGGGGGCCGAAGCCAAATTGAAGACAGTTCAGGAATAAACCGGAGGTAAAAACTGGAGGCAGCAGAGCCAGTCCTTTAAGAAACTCTACTTTGAAGGAGAGGAGATTAAAAACAGCAGAAGGTACTGAGAAATAGGGGTCAGTGGAGCATTCTGGTGTTTTGGTTTTTTTAAATTAGAGAGCTGTTCATGTGTTTATTCCCTGAAGCAAAAGTGAAAGCGAATGGGAGGAGAAGAGAGAAAGGGCACAAAAAACATGACTGACTCGGCCAAGTCATGAGCAAGAGGAAGGGAGTGGATCAAAGCCCTGGACTAGCCTCGGACAGGGGGAGGGACACCTTTTCCCTTGAGACAGGAGAGCAATAAAACAGAGGTCCGGATGAAAACACATTTGTAAAGAGGTGAGGCAGTTCTCCCTGATGTCCTTGTATTCTCTCTGAATGGTAGGAAGCAAGGTGATCTTTTGAAAGCGAGGTGGGTGGGGAATTTGGAAGAAGGAAGAAAATAGGAAGGTTTAGAAAGATTATCAAGTGACATAAAAGACCTTAGACCAAGAACTTGCTGTGATGTGGGTATCCTCACTTGGGTGGTTGTTTTCCTTGTGTCAGTACTCAGCAGGAGTGCCTTATCTCCCCCTCTGATAATATTGAGCCACTATGTAGAAGTACAGACTCTTAGTGACAGATTGATCCAGAACTGAGGCTTTTCAGGGAACCTGTTAGAGAAGGAAGACAGTGAGGGCCAAAAGTGATAGAAGGATGATGTAAAATCCCCTGTTCACCTGGTTGGTGCTGAGGACAAATGGAGTGGCCCCGAGCTGGGATTCTCCGAGAACCAGGTGTGGTTAGGGTCTTCAGGGGCCCCCCGTTCATAGCCCTCTCTTCCTCCTCTGACTTTGAACCAAGTTATGAAAGCAAAATGCAGAAACAAAGCAGATGAAAATTGATATACCGGCTTTATCAATGTCAGCAGGAGTGAAGGACACAGCGTGGATACATGGTCACAATCTGATTTCCTCACAGTCCAAATTGGATTTCTCCACTTAAAAGACCTCCATCAGGACAGAGACTGCTAAGTAAGCCCAGTGCATGAGGAATCAATGGATGTGTGACTCTGCAGGACTCTGATCACTTCCAGAGAAAGAAGAGAAGAGGTTGGGTCTTTCTGGACCTGGAAGGAGTAAGAGATGGAGTGAGAGAAGTCAGAATTAATTGTTACTCTTTTGTAATTCACCACTTGGAAACTTGAGAACAAGGGAGTAGTTCACCCTGAGGGCCACTGGGCACAAAAATATCAACTGGAAGAATGAGGGAAGTGATTAGTGAGTGGGATACCAGGGCTTTAGACTTCTAAGATGGAGTAGTTCTGGGTACCGATACGGACTAGGATGTGGAAATGGGTTGCTGTGGTAGGTTGGAGGCAATGTCAGGGGTTGAGAGGCAAGGGTATTATTTTAATAATCCTTGAGGACACTGATGAGACCCAGGATGGTACTGGACTCGGGATGCCAGGAAGAAGACAGATCTGGGGTGTGAGAATGATGGCCTTTGAGAGCAGAAACGAGGAAGCCCTGGGCTGGATTTCGAGGCCAAAGCAGTGTGGCCTCCGAGTGGAACATGCGTCCCAAAGTGAAGGAAATCTGTGATGCAACTAGATTTCATCAGTCTCATGTTTATGTCACCATCTCTAAATGAATGATAAATTTATTATGGTGTGATTCTATGCTCGCTCATATTGAGAAACCCCAAGAGTTTGTAATTGTGTTGCATGATTTTTTCCCTTCATTGAAAGGAGTGGCCTCAGACTCATCAAGCCTCAATCTCCTACACGGGACCTACAGAGAAACCTCCCAGTGGAGCGGAAGAGACCCCGCCCCGGCCCTCTTTGTACAGGAGGATATTACGGAGGCTCGCGTCCTACTGGGCACAACCGCAGGGCGGTGAGCAGCCTGGGGTCTGGAGGCTGGAAAGCCCTGGGTAGCTCAGGACTGCCTGAGGCAGACCCCACACGAGTGTCCGACCCTCCCGGAGTGGGGGAGGCCCAGGCTCAGACCAGCAGCAGCAGCATCCCGTGAACGGGGACAGCCCGTGTCATTCCTGACTCCCAGCGACTCCCTCTTTCTTTCGCCAGCCTTTGTGTTACTGTAGCTGCTTTTGTTGGGATGTCTCAGGCCTAGAGATTCCATTTTGAACCTGGCTCTTTATCCCGTGTATCAAAAGTATGAGATAAAGAAAATTAAGCCTGGAAGTCCACAGACTGGCTTGGGAGGCCATCTGAGCTGCTGGCAGCTGGCCGTGGGTGGCAGTGCTGAAATGTTGGTGGGAGATAGCTGACCTGTGTCGGATGCATTCACACAGCCCCGCAAGAGGTGAACCCAGAGGTCTGGAAGGAAGTGCAGCTGTCCACCCTTGAACTGTCCATCACAACCCGGAACAGTCAGCTTGACCTGGCAGTAAGTGTGCTTTTTTTTTTAATTAGAAAAGCATTTCGGAAAAGTGACAAAGGCTACAAAGGCGGCACACTCTTCTAGTAACTTGGTGTTTTTATTTTTACCCTGTTGGGGGAGAGAGGGGTCAGGAACAAGAGGATGTGGGGTGCCTTTGAGGAATAATAGCATGAGAAGAAACAGCTGAGTGAAGTGCCTAAAAGCTTATGGGGCTCTGGTCAAGTATCTGTCACCAAGCTTTCTGCCTTGAGAGAACTAAGGGCAAAGGGCCTTTAGGAGTGGAGTTAGTCTACTCCTGTTTGTCATAGGAATCAAAAGTTGCAGAACTTTTGCTTGAGTAAACATCTATTATTTTTGTGACTATTAAATATATAGATTTAGATCTCCAGGGAAGGAAAAAAAAATATATATATATATATATATACATATATATATACACACACACACATACACACACACACACACAAATATCTATTTGCATATTTTGAGTCCAATCTGTTGACATGGACTGTCCAATATAGTAGCCACTAGTCACAGGTAGCTGTTTAAATTAATTACAAAATAAAATTTAAAACTCATTTCTCGTGCTACATGTCAACTGCCATATGTGGCTAGTAGCTACCATATTGGAAAGCACAAATATAAAATATTTCCACAGTGCAGAGAGTTCTCCTGGAGAGTGCTGATATAGACAATAACGCTAAAAAATATTGTGAAATAAATCAGAGGTTAGCAAACTGGTCTGCTACCTGTTTTACTACAGCCTGCAAGCCAGGAATTGATTTTAAGTTTTTAAATGGTTAGAATAAAGTCAAAAGAGGAATGATATTTTGTGATAGGTGAAAAGTATACGGAACTCAAGTTTCAACATCCATAAGTAAAGTTTCACTGGAACAGAGCTGTGTTCATCAGTGTCCGTGTTGTTTGTGGCCACGCTTGGGTGGCAGTGGCAGAGCTGAGTCATTGTGACAGAGACTGAATGGCCCCCAAAGCCTAAAACATTTACTCTCTGCTCATCCACAGTAAAGGTTTACTGACCCCCGGTCTAGAGGAAACCTCAGTAGTTTATGTTAATGAAGATGCCATCAGGAAAGTTATTCTTAACTATGGACCAATACTTTGTTTAGCTTTTAAGTAAATCATAGTAGTATGTTCACAATTGACCTGGTCAGTCTGAAAATTGGCACATGGAATTGAACGTATGAATGTAGTATGGTGAGTAAGGGAGAGAAGTGCAATGGGAAGTTTGATTCCAGTATTAATATGCAGAGTGTTGGGTGACTTTCTAAATGTAAAACTAGTGCATGTCTTTGTACAACATTTGGATCACATAGCTCTTTTCACCTTTTAAATTGATTCCAGTTGGATTAAAAGGTTAAATGTAAAAAAAAAAAAAAAAACTATGAAAGTACTGGAGTGAAATCTTAAGTGATTATCAACATAAACTTGGGAGGACAAGACTAAACCTGGCACCTGAGGCAAAAATCACATTGATGCATTTGCATGCTTCTAATACAAAAGAAATAAAAATTTTAATGAAAATTGGGGAAAATATTAGGATGTGATAGATGCAGAGTTAATAGCTTTCCTTTATAGTAAAACTGTTAGGATAGTCAATAAGAGATGGGCAAAGGATTCATATAAACAACAGGCAGAGGACAAAAACAGAAATTCACAAAGGAAGTAAACATGAAAAAAAAAAATCACTGGTATTTACTACATGATAAGCACTGTCCTAAGAATTTTACATAGTGTCATCACATGTAATCCTCATAACTATACTATCAGGTGGGTATAATGTCTGTCTTAATTTCATAGGTAAAGAAAAAAATACTTAATATCAAAGAAATACAAATTAAAAAAATAACTGTTGAATGGCTGTAAATTATTTTTTTTTCCATTTATTTTTATTAGTTGGAGGCTAATTACTTGACATCATTGCGGTGGAATGGCTGTAAATTAAAAAGCATGCTGTTGTTCAGTGTGGGTGGGGAAATGGGCTGTCAGGTATTACTGGAGGGGAGAGAGCTTGGAACACCCTTTCTCCATGGCATTGTGGCAGCATACATGAAGCATCTGAAATCCAAGCATACCACTGGCCCTGTTAAGCATATTTCTAAAAATTTATCCATCAAAAATAATCAGATGATATATAAAGACAATCCCTTATTTCTTACATAATGGGATTCTGGAAATGTTGGTGAAAGTGAATGTATTAAGGTTAAAAAATACTCTGTTAAAAAGAAAGATAAGATTTCTAATTATGCATTTCCTTTATACCCAGTCTCTGATGATATGTATTTCCAGTGTTTTGTTCATGTTCTTTAACCTTGTTCTTTGCTCTGATGATTGAATACCAGTGAATGGATTGAGTTCAGCAACTAGGTGATTGTGGCTCGAGATTAGCTGCATTCAGAATGCTGAAAGCTTTTTATCTTTGTGCCAATTACAAAAGTATATGATCCTGTGCTGCTTATCACTGGCAGCAGCGCATTCATTTTCTTTTATTCCAAAACCTCTTTGTAAAAATAAAAGCGAATGCAATAAAATATTCAAAGACAATGAAGCTGCCATGTAATAGCTCAAAATGTTCATTTATCATTTAAAAAAAAAGTCCATTCAGAGTCTGAAAGAAGCTTTAGGGGTGTGGAATGTTTGAAAATTAGGATCTCTTGTAGAGCTATGTTCAGTGTATTTATCATGGCAAAATACATGAAACAAACTAATCAGGCAACTGATTAAATAGATTTTGATGTGTTTAGTTGCTCAGTCATGTCCAACTCTGCGCAACCCCATGGATTGTACCTGCCAGGCTCCCCTGTCCATGGAGTTTGAATACTGAAGTGGGTTACTACTTCCTACTACAACAGATTTTGGTACATGATGTTCTCTACCGACATGGAAAGATGTTCATTGTATATTTAAATGAAAAACCAGGTTAATATGATTTGCATCAAAAGATTTCATATATATGTTAAAAAGAAATACTCCCACCTCTAATTGAATTTTGTGAATGATAGAGGGTGAAGCTCTAATTTTATCTTTCTTCCATATAGAAAGCCAGTTGTCCAAGCATCATTTATTGAAATGTGCCCCATCCCTACGCCCCTCTCACTGATCTGCAGTAAACCTGTCATACATCAAGAATTTGTATACATGGGGATGTTCCTAAGTCTACTCTGTTGCTTTATTTTTCTATATTTGTACTAGTATTTGCTTGTCTTAATTATTAGTTTTAGAGTAAGTCCCTCTGTTTTTCTTCTTAAAGGGTTTCTTGGCTATTCTTGGCTCTTTGACTTCAATAAATCTCTTGGAATGTTTAAGTTCTACATAAATATCTGTTATAAAATCGATCAGGATTCCATTGAACCTGTAGATCAATTTGAGGAGAAATGACATTTTCTACAACATTGACTCTTCTGTCATATAAACATGGCATATCTCTTCATTTATTTAGGCTTTTAATGTCTTTCAGTAAAGTTTTATAGCTTTCTTTAACATTTTGTCTTGCTGAGTAGATTCCTGGTTATCTTAATTTTTGACGTTGTTGTAAATAGTGTCTTTTAAAATGTCATTTTTTAACTGATTTAGTAGATGGTCATGTAATTGATTTTTTTATATTGATGCTGTACCAGCAACCTACAATTCTTATCATGTTTATGGATTCCTTTAGATTTTCAATAGATTCAGTCATACCAACTGCAAATGGTGCAGTTGATATGATTTTTTTCCTTTCAAATACTTACCCTTATAACCTTTTGCCTTATCACATTGGCTAGGACCTCAGTACTAGGTTGGACAGAAGAAGTATTGGCAGGAGTCCTTGTCTCATTCCTGATTTAGAGAAAAAGGCTTTACTGCTTCATTCTTGAATTTGATGTTTGTTTGTGTGTTTTTTTTAATAGATAGCCTTTATCAGATTAAGGAAGTTAATCTTAGGAATCTTCCATTCCTATCCTAGTTTGCCAAGAGTTCTTATCACGAGTGGTTATATAATTTTATCAAGTACCTTTTCAGCCACTACTGAGATAAGGCTTTCTCACTGAGTCTGTCGTATTACAATACATTGATTTCCACACTTGCACGCTTTACAAAAGTCAAATCCTAGACTCGTATAGATACCCACTTACCCCTTTTGATGTCTAATATACATTTCAGTCTTGACATGTCCTGAGCTCCTGATCTTCCCTCCCACCCCTTGAAAACTGCCTTATTCTCACTCTTCCTCCAGCGCAGCTGATTGTAATTCCATTCTTTTAGTTGTTCAGGCCAAACATTTTGGATACTCCGTGTCCACACCTGAAACCTCCGAGCAAATCCTAGTGGCTGCACCTTCTGTTCATGAGTATTGCCAGCACGTCACAGCCTCCGCTGCCAGCTGTTCCAAGCCAGGGTCGTATTTTAGCCCAGTTATCACAATAGGTTCCTAAGTGGTCTCCCTGCACCTTTCTTGCTCCTCTAAACACAGTAGCCAGGAGAGCCTTTAAGAAAAAGCACATCATCTTTCTATGCTTAAGACCTTCTGGTGGCTTTTTGCTTCGCCCAGTCTAACGGCCAGCTTCCCTGGAGGGTGGTCCAGCGTCCATGCTCTCTGGTTTAGCCTCCTCTTGTCTCCTTTTCCCACTCTGCTCCAGCCATGCCAGCTCCATGTTGTCAGACCTGCTCCCACCGAAGGTCCCGGCCCTGCCAGTGTCCTTTGTGTGGACTGCGCGTCCCTAGACCAGTGGTTCTCAAAGTGTGGGCCTTAGATCAGCAGCAGTGGCATCGCTTGGGACCTTTTCACAATGAAGATTCTTGAGGCCCACCCCAGATCTATTGAACTACAAGCTCTGAGAATGGGGCCGAGTCTGAACTTAACAGCCACCTTGTTGACAGTTCTTGAAGACTGCCCTGGGTTTCCACAGCTCCTGCACTTTCTTCAGGTGTCTGCCTAGAGGTTACCTCATCAATGAGGCATACCTGGGCTCCTCTTTAAAAATGCCACCAACATCACCTTTTATCTCTTTTATAACATACTTATAATATTTCTGATATACTCTATACCATTTATGCTAATATACATACTCTCCAGCTTGCTATTTTTATACAGATATACTCTAGCATACTTCTAATATACGTGATCATTTATTACTTTATTATGGTTGTGTTTTGTTCATCCCTTCCGCTTTCTCTGGTAGAATGTAAGTTCTTTGTAGGCAGAAATATTCGTGTTTCTGGTTCATTGAGGGGACCCTAACACTTACAAAAGTTCATGGTACAAAGATGACAATAAGTCGTTTAGTAAGAGGTGACCTTAGAGCAGAGTTATCCCTCTGTATTTTGTAATTCCTGGTTGAGATGTAAAGTTGTGCTTTGGTTGAGCCCTTTAATCTTGGGCAAAGGCTGACAGCTTGCAGAGGCCTGGGGAAGACCCTGCGGCTATGAATTTTGAACCTTTCCAAAAAGAACGAAATTCTATTTGAAGCAGACCCAGAAGGATTGGGATTGATTTATAGAGGGCCAGATTGTATTGCTCGCTACCAACTGGTAGTAAATTTTAGTGGTGGCCAAAGAACCAAGTCTTTTTTTATGCCACTTCCTTGTAGCTTAGTTCTTCCAGAACATTCTGTGGTTGGGAATGCAGCATTTTAAAAACATTTGTTGTTGTTTAGTCACTGAGTCATGTCCCACTCTTTTTGCGATCCCTTGGACTGTAGCCCGCCAGGCTCCTCTGTCCATTGGATTTCCCAGGCAAGAATACTGGAGAGGGTTGCCTTTTCTTCTTTCAGGGGTTTTTCCCACCCAGGGCTCGAACCCACAACTTTTGCGTTAAAAACATTTCCATTCCATGGCATAAATGGATTGCTGCTCTTCAACTCTGGTCACTCACTAAGTCTGCATACAGAGAGTTAAAAAAAAAAAATCTCGATATTTTTCACCCCGAGGCTGTTCTCGCTGTTGTGTTGTGTTGTTGTGCTATGGTGTGGATGTGGAGTTTTTGTGGGGGAGGGTTTTAGGGGGAGGGGGCTCTCGAGTGTGTCACCTGTGTTTTTCTGCGCGTGTGAGAGCTTTTGCCCCCTCTCTACCTGCGTTTTTTTCTCTTTTTTGTGTGTGTTGTAAAAAAAAAAAGCAATGGAGATGAATTTTATGGTATATAAATTATGCTTCAGTAAAGGTCTTAATGTAAAAAGAAAGAAGAAGGACTGAAAATATACTCAGGATTAAGTCATTGAAAGTCAAGTCCCTTCTGTAATACACAGCTCCAACCATAACCCTCCAAGGCTAAGAGGGCAACAGGGTCCATAGGCCAAAATTCAGAGCATTAATGTTAGTTTTCCTAACTTTTCAGAGCAAAGAGGACTTTATGAACATCTGCATGGAACCCAACACCGTCAGCAAAGGGGACTTCATCACTCTAGGGTAAGTGGACTGGGGTTTGTAGGCGTGAGGCTTTAAGTGGTTTGTATTCTCAGACTTTACCAATCCGAGCGCCCACAAAGTCCAAAGCAGAGATCTCACTGAAGACTTGTGTGGTTTGGCAACTGTAGCACCCTTTTGTTTTTTGGGTTGGCGTGCGTAGTGCACGTCTCCTAGTTTGGCCTTCCGCTTGCATTTTGGGAAGATCGGAGTTTGGGAGCTGACTTGGTCTTTTGACTGAAATGACAGGAATCAGTGTAGCATGGTATCCTGCCCAGAATTTTGGCCTCGGGGTCAGAACTACTGGATACAAATCTTGACTTTGCCACTCACTGGCCTCATGATCCTTTACTTTCCCTGGATCCTGGAGTGGAATAACATAATTGCCTCTCTCTCTCAGGGTTATTTTTGAGTCTCATATGAGGGACTGTGTGGGCAAAGTCTTTATAAGCATGAAGTACTTCACAGCACTGGTTACCATTCGTCAGCTCACCTTGCCTTTTCCCAGGTCATTAATGAAAAGGTATTGAGTACCTTGGACATCTTCCAGACTTTTTTCCCTTTTCCACTACAAAAGACCCTCCCAAGTCCTGTCTGATTTGTTAAGCCATACCTCTGCCAGAGTTTTATTGGTTAAGGATGCTCTCGGCCTTCCGCCAGACTTCAGAGCAACTGAGAAGGCTGTGTGTTACCATGCCAACTGGAATCTGCTCCATTTTTTCTGAACTCTGTCTCGGAGCTCCCTCTCGCGCCCACGTAAGGATTAGACATTGCTGCTGCAGCGGCCGGGTCTCCATGACTACCTCATTCTCTGCCAGCACGGGCGCACAATGTCTTTGCTCAGTTTGTGTTGTTCTCGCCTTGGGTACCAATTCTTCAGATGCTGAATAGCTGCTTCTGCAGCCTTTGATTCACTTGCTGTAACTATAGTAAAAGGGAGAAAGGGAAAAAGTCTTTCTTCTCCTAGGAAGGGTCCAGAAGCTACACAGTGTCCCACAAGCCTGTGGGACCAGCTATATTCGAATCTCCTTTATAATGCTGACATCCAAAACCAGAAAGAAAAACTGATCATGTTACTTAAATTAGACAAAGTCATTATGGTGCATGTGGTTGCTGTCATCATCTGCAGCAGCAGCAATAACATGGTTTCCTTTTGGTCTCTACAGGAAGTGAAATCAAGCCGTGTCTGCTTCCTCTGAGTATCTGATTAGAACACTGAAAAGTTGCTTTAGAAAACTGATGATGTTTCATCAAAAGAATTACTATTGTTAATTAATGATAAGTGATGTGAAAGTCACTCAGTCGTGTCCGACTCTTTGCAACCCCTTGGACTATATAGTCCATGGAATTACTGTACAGTCCATGGAATTCTCCAGGCCAGAATACTGAAGTGGATAGCCTTTCCCTTCTCCAGGGGATCTTCCCAACCCAGGGTTTGAACCCAGATCTCCCGCATTGCAGGTGGATTCTTTATCAGCTGAGCCACCAGGAAAGCCCAAGAATACTGGAGTGGGTAGCCTATCCCTTCTCCAGCGATTAGTGATGAAGATGGACTGATTTTTATAGATTAGCTTTTACCCATTTCCCAGTGACTCTGACTAGCTGCAGGGTGTATATACATGAGGGGAGGGGGGTGGGTAGGGGTGTGTGTGTGTGTGTGTGTAGAGAGAGGCTAATAGTTTTATTCCAAAGCCATGTAGTCAGGTCAAGATGCAGTATTCTAAGTAGACTGTTTATATCAATACGGAGAATCATACAAAAGCTGCTAAGGTTGGTTGTTCATATAAATCCATCTAGTTTAAATCAGAATACAAAATTTTCTCTTTCAAGTAACAGACTCACAAGAAGTACCAAATATCAAAAGTTTAGTACTTTTTTCTAAAGTATTTCATTTCATTCCAATTTTTAAACTTGGGATTTTTAAATAGCCCAAGAATTAGGTATACATGGAACTACGTAAAGATCAGTTGAGAGAAAAATCAGTCTTCATGCACAGTTCTGTTCAGTAAATAAGCCTTCTCAATCTGGACTGTATCTCAACACTAAGCAAGAAGCACTGGGGGAAAAATTATTCACAGAACCCCCATGGTTCAAGAGACTGTGAGTCCATGTATTTGATTTTACCCAAAGACACGCAGAACTTGCTTTGTTCTGGCAGTTGAATGCAGTTGCCAGCACTGGTTTCCAAGGTTGCTTTTTCCTGTACCAACAGAAGTAAAAAGGTGAGAGATCCTGAGCTGCGTGTTGAGGGCACCGAGTGTCTCCAAGCCAGCCGCTGCACGTTGCTTCTTCCAGAGGTGAGCAGGGGTGAGCTGCCCCACAGCTTGGGGTCTTCTCTCTGTGGTCTTCCTTTCTGCTCTTTTTCTCCCTCTTTCCTATTAACAGACCCTTCCTTAGGTATCTCACACATGCTGAGTGCTGTGCCGGGCTCTGGGTTATATTAAGGGAGACCCAAAAAGATGGCAGAAAAGCCCCTTCTGAGTCACAGGTTTAGAGTTTGGCTCCTGAAGACTTCCAGTGTTGTCAGGCCAAGGTTCTGTAATGTGATCCTTCAGTCTCCTGAACTTTTATTTTTCTGAATGTAAATTATGCGAATGGTTACTATAACAACCCACAGAATTCTCCAGTTTGCAAATGTTCATAGTGAATTCTAGCTTCACGTTTTTTAAAAATGATCTGGAAGCGTTTTCAGGATGGCAGTAGATTTTTCTGTACTGGGAAATGCCAAGCTATGTGGAATAACCTATAAGTGGGGGAAAAAAGTTAACTACAGATGGCCTCTGAAGACTTGACTGTTAAACTAAGGTGGTCAAAAAGGACTGTAGGTAAAATAGAAGGTGTCCCCACAGTGGCTGGTACCATAGTTTCAACACAGCAAATGTTGACTTAAATGCATGAGTTATGGAAGGGTTTTCTAGAATTTGTAATATTAGTGGTGCTATACCTTAGGTATAAAGGTAAGCAAGTCCTAAAGAACAACCATGAAAATAATCGAGTGGCTGTAATGGCTTTCCTAAGAGAACTGGCTGTGTCGCTCACTTTTCATTTGGGCAAGATTAGGGCCGAGAAGGACATACACATCTTAACGTGAATTCCTTAAAGATATGCCAGGACCCTGTCTTTCAATAAGCATTTGAAAATGATAACCTTGTTTCACAAATCCCAAAATACTCTGGGAGGAGGCAGAGTCCACTTAAACCTTTTTCATGGTGCTGAAGTGGAAGTCACTCAATCACGTCCAACTTTCTGCGACCCCATGGACTCTTCAGCCCATGGAATTCTCCAAGCCAGAATACTGGAGTGGGAAGCCTTTCTGTTCTCCAGGGGATCTTCCCAACCCAGGGACTGAATCCAGGTCTCCTGCATTGCAGGCAGGTTCTTTACCAACCAAGCTATGAGGGAAGCCCCCCTATTTCCATAACCAGCCCTGTGTCCGACACAGGCACAGAAATGTCTTTTTAAAGAACATGAAGCTAAATCCTCAGAGAGGGTGCGGTTTTCCCTAACAACCTGCCCGGATGCTCAGAGTGTGACGAATCCCAGCCAGCTGTGGGCGCCAGCTGTTCTGAGTCTTCTCCCCCTGCAGGGCACCGGGGGCGCCTTCAGCATCGACAGTGAGGAGTATGAAGCGATGCCCGTGGAGGTGAAGCTGCTCCCCAGGAAACTGCAGTTCTTCTGTGACCCTCGCAGGAGGGAGCAGCTGCTGCAGCGCCCGGCCGAGTGAGCGGGCGGCAGGTGGGCGCCCGAGACTGCACTTTAGCCACCCCGGGACCAAAAGGGAACCGAGGCCTCCCCTGTCCCCCGCAGTGTCGTCAGAGGACCCCAAGGGCCGGTTCACGGCAAGTAGCCCCCTGGGTCCCGCGGCCGCCCTGGGTCTTCCTGGGAAGCAAGCCACCTGCTTTCCCGCCACTCCGCCCGCTCCCAGGCCCTTCCACGGGTGCTGCGACTTGGTGAGCTCCGACTCAGCCCAAGGAAAAAGCGTAGGGGGACGTGTGTCCCTCTTCAGCCATGGCTGAAATACTGTCAAGTACTCTTTCCTCACCCCTCCACCCTGCAGTCCTGCTTCTGAAATGTCGGTTTGCACGAGAACCACCTAGGGTGCATGTTGAAAATTGACTTAGTTGGGGCCCATCCCGAATCTAGTAACTGGGTCTGGAGGGCGGAGCCAAGGAATCTGCACGTTTTAAAAGGCGGCCACCCTCCCCAAGTGGTTCTACTAGGAGAGGTCCCCCGACCTGAATGGGACGGTCCTGTAAAGCAGTGGTCCACACACATAGTTATTCTGGTCATGTACGTCCTAAAAGTATTTTGAAAAATCATGTAACCCTTCGCAGTTTTAAGTTGACAGCCAAAATTTTTCATGGGAAGTTAGTTGCCAAAGTACATACTTTCTAGTGTCATGTAAATATTGATATTTTAAAATAAAACTGTTACATTACTCTTTTGAACATTTTCAGTGTAATTGAGATACATAGCAGTTTGACACTCATCATCCATTTACAAAAATAAACTAGTAAGTTGTTTAGTCATTGAAAAATGCCGATTTTTCTTAATGTGTATTTCCATACCCCTTTCTGCAAAGAATGCTATCATAATGTAATGTTTTTATGCTTGAAACTTTTTTTATTGGAACTATCGTCTTGCCAACAAAAAATATAAATGGAAATAACTTTTTTTAGTTCGTGTCAATTAACTCACAAGAGAATAAATGTTATAAATTATTGAAATGCAACTGATATTATAAATTTTTGAAAATTAAAAATTAACATTTTATTAGAATACTCTTTATCCTGAGTTGATTTATTGAAAAACACCTTTGTTTTTTCAGTTTAATTCAAGTTTTTGTTTTTTTATTTTATATAGTAGTATTGTTGATTAGAGAGTTTTTTCAGGTGTATAACAAAGTGATTCAGTTATGCATATATGTGTATGTTTTTTTTTTTTCAATTCTTTTTCCATTAGGTTATTACTGAGTGTTGAGCAGAGTTCCCAACCAACATTAGGTCCTTGTTGGTTATCTATTTTTAAATAGATAAATAGAGCAGTGTGCACATGTTAAGCCCAAACTCCTACTCTATCCTCCCCACCCACCTTGCTGGTAACAGTAAGTATGTTCTCTCAGTGTGTGGGTATGTGTTTTGTATATAAGTTCGTTTGTATTTTAAGTTATTTCATATGATCTTTGTCTTTGTCTGACTTATTTCACTTAGTATGATAATCTCCAGGTCATCCATGTTGCTGCAAATGGTATTATTTCATTCTTTTTAACGGGTAATAATCTACTGTATGTACCACATCTTTTACCTATTCATCTGTCCACACACATTTAGGTTGCTTCCGTGTCTTGGCTATGGTAAACAGCACTGCAATGAACACTGGGCTGCATGTATCCTTTCCAACCACGTTTTTCTCCAGATACACACCCAAGAATGGGATTGTAGGATCATGTGATAACTCTAGTTTCTTAAGGAACCTCCCTCCACACTGTCTATACCAATTTCCATTCCCATCGACAGTGTAGGGGGCTCCCTTTTCTCCACACCCTCTTCAGCATTTATTATTTGTAGACTTTTTGATAATGGCCATTATCACTGGTGTGAGGTGATGTCTCATTACAGTTTTGATTTGTGTTTCTCTATAATTAGCAATGTTAAGCATCTTTTCAGGTGTTTCTTGGTCATCTGCATGTCATTTTTTAGGTCTTCTCCCCATTTTTTGAGTCACATGAGCTGTTTATAAATTTTGAAGCTTAATCTCTTGTTGTTCACATCATCTGCAAGTATTTTCTTCCAGTTTATGGGTTATCTTTGCACTTTATGGTTTCCCTTCCGGTTCTGTTCTCTTGTGATTTGATGACTAACATTAGTGTTGAGTTGGGTTTCCTTCTTATTTTGTGTGTGGTATCTATTGTAGGTTTTCCTTTTGCCGTTCCCTTGAGGTTTTGATACAGCAGTCTGTATATAAATGATATATTTTAAGTTGGTAGTCTTTTAATTTCTAAAGCATTTCCAGTATCCTGCATTTGTGCTCTCCTCACGATTTCTGGTTTTGATATATTTGAAATATTTGAATCATTTACAGATGATTTCCTACCTTTACTGTGTTTGCCTTTACTGATAATCTTTTCCATTTGTAATTTTCTTGTTTCTAGTTGTGGCCTTTTCTGCCTAGAGAAGTTCCTTTGGCATTTGTTGCAAAGCTGGTTTGGTGGTGCTGAATTCTCTTAGCTTTTGCTTGTCTGTAGGCAATTTCTCTGTCAAATCTGAATAAAGAGCCTTGCTGAGAAGAGTATTCCTGGTCGTAGGTTCCCCCTCATCACTTTAAATATGTTGTGTCATTCCCTTTGGCCTGAAGAGTTTCTGATGAGAAATCAGCTGCTAACTTTATGGGAATTCCCTTGTATGTTGTTACATTTCCCTTGTTGATTTTCATTTTTCTGTCTTTATAATTTTTGTCAGTTTGATTACTATGTGTCTTGGCGTGTTCCTTCTTGGGTTTATCCTGCCTGGCACTCTGTGCTTCCTAGACATGAGTGACTGCTTCCTTTCCCATGTTAGGGAAATTTTCAGCTATTATCTTTAAATATTTTCTTGGGTCCTTTCTCTTCTCCTATGGGACCCCTACAATGTGAATGTTGTTGCATTTAATGTTCCAGAGATCTCTTAAATTGTCCTCACTTCTGCTTATTCTTGTCTTCATTATTCTGATCCATGGCAGTGATTTACACCATTCCGTCTTCCAGCTCATTTATTCTGCCATTGATTCCTTCTAGTGTATTTTTCATTTCAGTTATTGTTCATCTTTGTTGTTTAAATCTTCTAAGGCTTTGTTAAATATTTCTTGTGTCTTCCTGATCTGTGCCTCCTTCCTCTTCTGAGATCCCGGCTCATCTTTACTATATCATTACTCTGAATTCTCTTTCAGGTAGACTGCCAGTCTCTACTTCACCTCGTTGTTCTTCTGGAGTATCTCATTTTGTCTGACTTTCCGTGATTGTGGCTCCCATCCTGTAGGCTGTAGGGTTGTAGTTCTTGCTTCTGCTGTCTGCCCCTGCCAGGTACAGCTATCTAAGAGGCTTGTGCAGGTTTCCTGGTGAGAGAAGCTGGTACTTGCCCACAGGTGGGTGGAGCTGGGTCTTGTCCCTCTGGTGGGCAGGGCTGTGTCAGGGACTGTTTTTACTGGGCAGCTGTTTTCTCAGGATTTTGAGCAGGCTGTCTGTGGCTGAGTGGAGCTGTGCTCCTGCCCTTTGGCTGGTTGGCTTGAGGTGTCCTAGCACGGGCTGTTGGGTGGGGCCAGGTCTTGTTGAGAAAATGGGGGCATCCAAGAGGGCTCACACCAATTAAGTGTTCCCCTAGAATTATCACAACCAGTGTCCTTGTCCCTGCAGTAAGCCATAGCTGCCCCCTGCCTGAGACCCTCCAATCCTAGCAGGTTAAGTCTGGCCTAATCTCTTATGAGGTCACTGCTTTTTTCCCCTGAATCCTCATGTATGTGAGACTCTGTACCCTCCAAGAGTGGAATTCTTACAGTCAAACCCCACTGGCCTTCAAAGCTGGATTCTCTGGGGCCGCCTCCTCCTGTTGCCAGACCTGCAGGCTGGGGAGCCCTTTTGGGGCTCAGAACATTCACTCTTGGGGGAAAACTTCTGCGGTATAATTATTTTCCAGTTTGTAGGTCTCCACCCGGTTCATGTGGGATTTGATTCTATCTTGATTGTGGCCTCTGTGGGTGTAGGACATCTTTTTTGTGGGTTCCAGCATGTGTTCTGTTGTTGATGGTTGTTCTGCAGTTAGTTGTGATTCGGTGTTTCCATAAGAGGTGACCTCACGCCCTTCTACACTGCCATCTTGTCTCCTCCCAAAGGCATGCTATTTATAGCTGAGACAGAGTTTAACATTATAGATGTAAATAGATAAATAAGCAGATGGGATAGAAAGATTCTGTTATGCAACTCAAAGAACTGTATGACATTGTTATAGCAAATACTCCAGAGGGCAATGCACTGCAATAAGGTGAATGAGACCTAAGGCACTTTTTTTTTAAAAAAAAAAAGGAAGGGAAAAGGGGAAGAAGAATTGGCAGACTTCTCAGGCAGATCAGTTTTAGGACAGTGCATATACTTGCACCCATGGACCTTGTGGAGAGGGAAGACCACATGCTTAAAGGATTACAAAGCAGCTACGAAAAGACCATGACAAGCAGCTTTAAAAGCCCATAAAATAATGCTTACCTGTTTACCACTGTGTTCTTCAGAGTGGCGTTAAAAGCTGTACTTTTGCAAA